GCATCTGTGCCAGCACCAGAGCCCTGCCATACACGAAGTCAAGAGCTGATTGCCTATCTGCATCCGTTGCCCCCAAATGATTGTGCCATAAATGAAACGCGGTATTTGCTTCATTAGTAGAAATGTGTGTGGGTTTTCTGGGGGGCGGGAGGGGGAGGATTGAAAATGATCTGACATAGTCTTCCCATCAATGATTCACTATAGCATCCAGAATGTCATATACGTTAAACAGAAGCAAACTCTCCAGTAATCGCCTAGACTTAAGGCTGTACAGCAGTATGTTAGGGTTGAGCTGTCAGGAAAAACTGAGTTCAACACTAAAGATTTTGATCTAATATTTAGAATTTTCCATTGAATGGAATCTACTGGGTTGTGTGTACATATATCTGTGTATTCATCATTCCAAAGCAAACATACACAGGAGTGTATGCACGCGCGCGCACGCGCGCGCACGCACGCACGCACACACACACACACACACACACACACAGAGTTTAGCTTGAGATCTCTGAAACAGCTGAGACCAAGTGTGATATTGACACACAAAGTGAAATATTCACATGCAGTATGCATGACAAACATTAAACCTTCCTTCACTCTGGTTAGAATTTTAGGATCATTTCACGTATAGGGCAGGGAAAGGAAGCTTACCTATTGGCTCATTACATACGATGTAAATACCAAATTACCAACCCTATCTGAACCAAAGGCAAAATTCTAACCCAAACTCTAATCTGGTAACATTGGTGCTACCCCTACTGTCCTGGGGAAAAGCAGAGATGACACAAATATAAGGAAACAGTCAAATACGTACTATAGTACTACTGAAGGTACAGGGATTAATTATGAATAAAGTGTTTCAAGATTTCTTCCCCAACTATGACCTGGTCTATTCTTATGCTTTAGTATGCTGAAAATGTTCAGCTAAGGGGCTAAATTCAGTGTTAGTTAAGTCCACTGATATCAGTGGGATGGAAGTTAGTTGTGACTTACTAGTTTTATTCAGTCTGAATGGTTTTATTTGAATAGGACTAACACTGATAATATCCATAGCTTATGAAATGCTACTATGATTGCCACTGTTTAAGTGGCAATCATAGTAGAAAGACCCAACATCTTTGCATGAGTTTTCAGTATCAAGCACAGTATCATCCAGATATAACAACAAAGAAACAGAGAAAAACTGTTCATAATAATGAGCAGGATAATTCAACTTAAATAAAGTTATTGCAAACACTTTAGGTAAGAAATAGACATCTGTTTCAGGAAAAAGATTAAGTTAATATTCCAAATCAAATGGTTTTGCAATTTAGTTTCTGAAGCTTTGGAGTGAACTTATGACATAATCACTATTGATTTCAAAATGCAAACCAACCCTTCCCTTTTATGTCAATGCCATTTTACTTTACTGGCATACTTCTAGAGACAAAAAGGGCAATTTAGTCAAGCAATAACGGCTGTGGATATTTTTTTAAATATTCACAAAAGCGTCTGTGAAACAGTGGCTGCAGTCTGGGAAAGTCATGTTGATGAGAATCCATGTGCGCATGTCTCCAGCTGGCACCACACCATTAAAACATGCAGGCTCTTGCCACAGTTTCATTTAAAAGTCATAATTCCATTATCCAATTTGTTCTGAAAGTTGTGTACGGGAATACCATCCCTCTAAGTAGGATGACAATATATATTTAACTTGCATTAAAAATTGAAGAAATTTTCAACCAGGCTTTGCACAGTTTAATTACAAGCTGGAAGTTACTTGAGAACCTCCTATATTATTCACACACTCTGCTAAAGCATGTGCACTGGTGTGCCATATGTAGCCCTGCACACCCTTATTGAGCATAACCTAACACATCTCCAAAATGTATTTTTCCTATACAAATCTAGCAAGCAGTTTCAAGAAATAATAATCAGTTCACAGCACACTGATATCAAAACACTGACTAGAAGCAAAATAAATATCAGATAATATGCCAACACTGAGTGAATCTAGAAAACAAGTGCCAATACATATTACCACATTAGTATTTTCTCTTTCATCCAGACAATTGCTTCCATAGCTTCCCTCATCAAATTTATTCCTCAATTCTGGACTTAAGTTATTCAGCAGTGTTACTTTTCTAATCTTTTGTCCTAAACTTCCAGTCCATGCTTTGTCCTAATTTCTGGTTTAAATGCCAAAGGATTTTACTTACAGTATTTATTTATTTTTACTTTAGGAAAATCCTCCTAAAGGTGGTTATGGCTTATTATCTGTATTCCAAAATGTTGCAAATAAGCAGAGGCTGCAATCCTGCACTTAGATTGCTGAAAGCTTGCTGAAGTCACTGTAACTGAAGAGGCTTCAGTGTGTGCAGGATTTCAGAGGCAATGTCTTTTACTTTTCATCAAGGAATCTCACCGGTGAATTGACAATAAATGCAATCATAAGCAAAGTGCCTTGTTATGGAAAGTGCTTTAAAGCTATAGAAACTCAAATAGTGGCTTTCCACCGGGGATCATAATCATGAAAGGGGGAAAACATTATCTTTTGCCTGACTGTCATATGAACACTGCTCAATTATAACAGTTAATGATATTTTTGTGAAATTGCCCTCGCAAAACAGACCTCCCCCGCCAAACATTCAACAGGCGCCTGACTCTTTACATCTGAACTCTTAGATTGATGCCAACTGAATCTAGTTGCCACCCTGTACTTTTCAAGATTTGCTGTTTAAAGCATGATGCTGTTTCTCCTTCAGCTCTTACTGGCTCTATACTGCATTTTAAAGCAACATCTTTTAACTAGTTTTATCTGAATGATAGAATTATCTAACGTAACTGGTTTTCTTTTCCTTTCCTTCCCCCTCCCCAACCCCCCCCCCATTGTAAAGCAGCCATCAATAGCAGGAAAAGACTTTAGGGGCATCAAAGACAATGCTCTAAAACAAACTCAACACTCTGAGCTTTCTGGTTTGGTGTGGAAAAGCCACCAAAAACAAAGTAGGTAAAGCAATGAAAGTTTCAGAAGTCTGAAACACTCAGAAGCTGGTTTATACTGCTGGTCTTCTCTGCACTTTGAAGAACAACAAAAACACAGACACACACACACACACACAAACAAACAAACAACCCCGCCCCCAGCACATCACCTCTTCCCATCCTGGGGGAAAGCATCTAAAAGCTACTACTTCATAATTTTCAAAACATTAATAAAACTGTAATCAGGTGTGATGACATACATGACATCTTAGGGAGAGGTTTTTAATTGAACCAGTGCACCAAAAATAAATGCAGCAATTTGACAAAAACACAACTGTCTCCTTTTGTTCACCAGCTTTTGTGTGTGCATGCACGGAGCCTTGTATGGGCAACCCCTACTATGTGCCTATGAGTGTGTGTGTGTGCACACACTTGAGCTGTCTGCCTTGAATGTCAGGCTCAAAATCAGTCGGCAACTCAGGGAGCTCTTCCTACTCCAGATTAAAACCAGAATCCTTGAATGTAACATTTCTAATATCATCATCATCATTACTTATCATCCATGCATACATTTCATTGCCTAGTTACACAGAGCAAGTCTGCCACGATCCAACTGCTGACTCCAATGAACAGTAACCAAATAACAGCAAATCAACAAAAGATAAATGTTTGCCACATTGACTGGCTGCTGTTTTGTTCTCCTCTGTTTGTTTGTTTTATTTCTTTTCATTGGTATAATTAATGGGTGAGGAGGGGAAGTGGGGAGGATCCTGTGATCTGAACGCCCGCGGGGAATAAGAAGCTGCGATTTATTTATTTGGGGGTGGGGGGGGCAGGCAGTTACTGTGCCTAATTAAAACTTCGGATTTGGGAGGGGGGGCGAGGGAGCCAGGATTGATGTCTTTCTCTGTTTTGCTCAGAAATAGCCGGCCCTCGCGGCGCGCGTTTGGCCTGACTCCCATCTCAGCCGCTTCTTAGTCCCTCTGGCACCCCTTGGGGTTGCAACGGAGGGGGGGGTGCTGTACCCTTAAGGCCTCCCTCCCTTCCCTCTGCCCCGGCCAATTCTAAAAGCCCTCTCTCGCAGCCAAACCCTCGGCTCAGGACAAGGATATCTCCTTGAGGTTGGCACGGGAGAGTCCCCTTTCAGAATAAGTGCATCAGTACAGGAGTGGGGAGGTCATCTTTCGGCGGGGGGGGGGAGAGGGAGGTAGGACAACCTTACTGGTCTCATTCCAGTTTTAGGTGGGCTCTCGCCTTAGGTTCCAAAGGAGGAAGGAATTGGGGGAGGGGGAAGCCTCTGAGTTGGGTGAGAGAAGGAGAGAAGGGGGGGGTCCCCTCCAGGCGTCGGTCCCGCACAGCTTTTTCCCACCGGCACCAGAAGGTGGGCGAGAGGCGAGCGAACCTTCCTATGTCACTTATGCAGTGGCGCTCGCTCTGCTTCTGTGCCTGCTTGACGCGAACGGGCGCCTTCAAGGTGGGGCCTGTTTGCCCCCCACCCCCGGGTCGGTTTTAGGAAGGGTCGGTCGCTCCCTCCAGGCGGGGATCACACAGAAGGAAAAGGGCGGGGGGGGAAGGAGGGCTTTTCTTCCGAACACGCTTGGCCAGGATCAACGGCAAGGAAGCCAACTCGGGGCGGGAGAGATCCTGCCAGCCCCGCTGGGTCCGGTCGCTCTTCGGCGGGGGCAGGCCGGAGGTGCTGCTCACTCCCCCCGGGGGACTGGCAGCCCAAAGGCAGCCTCAGGGTAGCGGGGCGATCTCTCCGCCTTCTCGCTCAGGGGTCTCAGCCTGGCGGGTCGCCTTCGCGTAAGCCATGCCTGTGACCCGGGTCCGGCCACCGAGTCCCTGGCGCCCGGCCTCTGTGCCGACCCCGCAGGCCTTCTTGGGGCTCCCTCGGCGGAACCGAGCGATTCAAAGGCTTCCTCCTCACCCGGTCAACCCACCTCAATGTTCCTCCTCTCGCCCAATCCCAACGGAGGGCAGGAAGGACGAGCCGGGAATGAATGAATGAATGAGTGAAGTGAAGGAGCAGGACTTACTTGTTTCGTCATCGAGTCGATTAAGCGGACGTAAAAATCCTGCTCGGTTCTGATCCCTAGGAGCGGCAGACGGACGAGAAGGAGGAGAGAGAGGCGAGAGGAGAAAAATTAGATCATCCAAAAATCAGGCAGCCTCATTTAGCTTCACTTGGCACAAAATGGCAACACAGACAAAATCTTTTCTTT